AGAACTCAAGTAAGTCCTAGACTTTGGTGGTGAGTGTATTGATTCCATAAAACCAGTGGTCTTTTCCTCATCCCAGCATTTAGCAGCTTATTCCAAGACAGCATTGATTTTGATAACAATGCTGCTATTGGTACACTTTGTTTTTTATAACAGTGAGCACTACAGTTGCCATCCTCTTTTTCACCTTGGGACTGCCTTGCGGCTGCGGTTTCCCATCCTAGTTGCTCATGCAAAGCAGTGATAATATGAGTGCTTTCACCTCATTTACTTTGGAATCCAAGTGTTCTTTATTTCTCTGATGAGAACCCAATGTCCTCATCTTTCCGGAATCAGTTTAATTTCCTGAAAGGAACTAATTTGAAGCAGCCATCTGAACAGACCTGTGTTCAAATGAAGTACTGGCAAAAAATGAAATAAGGGTTGGGCTGATGGTGTGGAGACCCTCCTAAGAATGTTCTCTTCCCACACCTTTGTACACTTGGCTTATTGTGGAGAGGCACATCCCCTGCTTACAGAAAGATAAATAAACCCCTTCTGACTGTAGCAGAGGCAGCTTCTGGATCATTACTTACAGGCCCACCATTCCACAGCAGAGCTCCCAGGTGGCCTGCAGTTGTCCTGCATGGTCAGTGACCTGGATCACATGCAAGGATCCTTCAAGTAGAGCAACTGGGCTCTGTTTACTGATCAAGTCCCTGTTCTTGAACTGAACTGTCCCTTTGCTCCCCCAGTGCCTCAGTGCATTGCAGTTGCTCTTGCAGATTTTACATCTATTACAGCTCCCTTTATCATTGCCAAAACCTACTCATGTCACATTCCTGATCTCTAAGCTCACCCAGAGTTGTTTCTGGTCGCTGTCTGATCGTGAGCTCTAGCAGTAAGTCAGGGTGTGACAAAAGTATAGTGGCATCCTATTCTGTGACAAAATCCCATTGTAATTATCGTCATGAGGGAACTACTTTGCTACTGGAAAAACAGAGGCCCTGAATGTGATCACTAAATAAATTATATCACTTTGCAAGCCTGATATGGTTGAAACCTGATGCCCTGCTTAGATTCCAGACTGTCTGAGGCATTCTGCTGACTTAAGTCTATTTCTATTAAGTTTAATTCTGTTTAGCTTTTTCTTGCTTTGTAATTGGAAGCACTGTTAGCAGATGCTGTGCTCTACCTCAGCTGTACCAGCTTTTGGTACCTTAATAGTCCTTAGTGCATGTATCCTTCTTAAAATGTAACCAATGCCCTCAGGGTGCAAAATAGTCTGTGAATACCAGTTTGTTACAAAGGTTCTCACAGTTCTGATACTTTTGTAGCATCTTGTGGGGAAAAATCTTTCATCAAACAAAAAGTGGATTTGTTCAAGTCCCCTTATGGTTCCCTCCCCCCATATCTGTATTAGATGCTTGGTGCTGCCTCTTAGTGGGTTCAGATCACAGGGCTCAACTCCTGCATTAGCAATAGAGGGCTGACCCATAGGTCTTTGGTTGTTTTGAGTCTAAGAGTGCTCAGTGCTTTGCACTTACGAATGAGAGACGGTTGCTGGGACTTCCCTCTGTTGTGTAATGTCAAATCACTGTTGCTACACAGATCTCTCAGTTAAACCTCATGAGTTTACTGAAGCCACTAAGCACCCCAGTTCCCATTGCCTGCTCAAGTGGTACCGTGCAAATGCTCTGGCATTTCTGTTCACATCTCTGTCCTCCCTTCAGAGCCCGCAAGATCCCCATAATCATCCGTCGTTACCTACCAGATGGGAGCTACGAAGACTGGGGTGTGGATGAGTTAATTATCACAGACTGAGCAGCCTCCAGCTATTGTTTTGGTTCTTTCCTTCTCCAGAGATGCTTCTATTTTTATCTATGTAAATAAATTATGACACACGCCCCCTTATTTTAAGTTAAATGTGTTTGGGTTTTTTTCCTCACGCCTTCTCTTTCATCTCAGTCTTACATGCCCACGAGAAGACTTCCTTACTTCTCTCTACCAGTTTGGTCATCATTCTTTGTTTCTGTGTCATGGGCTATGCTAATCTTATTAGATTGGAAGCCAAGTGCAGCTTTTTTTTCACCTGATAAGGTGCAGTCTTGAGCATACCTGTTAGCTAAGCTCAGGACTGCAGTAACTGTTTCCTCTTCCTTCAGCACTGCTCCTCCCTGGTTATAGGACCAAGAGACAATTAAGCCCCTGCTGTACAAAAGTGCTCTTACAGGTACTTTGGCTTCAGAAAGATTCCAGCCTTCCACTGCGTCCCTTCTTAAAACATGAGTGCTGAGACACCTCCATTGCTTCCCTCTAGACAGTTGGGCCTTTGTGCCCTCAGCAGGTTGCTGTGGAAACCCCCAATTTCCTCTCTGACTGGGGCTGCCTGTGGGGCTTCTCAGGAGTATCATAGAGCAGCTCTCATCAAATCGCCTATTGTTTCCCTGCTCCTGCTGCTTATCAGAAGTGGGGATCCCCTTTCAGTGGCACTGCCCCAGCCGGAAGCGTGGTCACCACTCACGGTGCCACCAGTTCAGCAGCTGTAGGTTGTTGCTGAGCTTGCTCCTCGTACAGCCCTTCTCTGACACGTGGTGGAACGGATGGTCCTGGGTGTGTGGGTGCTCTCCAGCCATCTCAGTTGTTCATACTCTGGTGGCTCTTACAGTGGCACAACTGTAGTTAAATCCTAGAGTTCCTTTAATCTGTAGTATAATGGAAGATCAGTCATTTGTCCTCTTCAGGTGCCTGCACTCTTGTCTCTGATGTGCGGAGAGGTTATATGCTTAAGTCAAGAGTTGGGTGGATGCATTACAATCTCCAGGGGCTTCCAGCCAGCCACTACCTAGTTTTCATTTCTTCATCTGTGTGCTCCAAGGCTCTCGCTGTGCCTGAGGAAGATCTGAGCTGTTGGGCCGAGTCTTTCTCCATTGCTGTATTAAAAAGTGGTCTTGGGCACCTCACCTATGCTTTCTGCTTGACATTAATTTTTCTCTTTATGCTGTTTCAGAAAGAATGTTTCCAACTACTTTGTGTTAAAGCTTGTGTGTCTGTATAAAATGTGCATTCTCCATACTGTGTGTGTAGTCACTGCCTGCACATGAGCATCCATGTCCCAAAGGGAGTGTACATCCACCTGCCTGGGAGCTCGGCTCATATAACCAACCATGAATGTCATTCTCTTACTGCTCCCTGTAAAACCACAGTCCATCCTTCCTCTGTTGGTGTGCACAGGAGGGGCTGGTTTTAGAGGCAAAAATGCCAGAGCCGAATGGGTCCCAGGTCAAAGGGAATGTGGAGATGCTTGCAGGTGTGGGAAGGGGGTTGACTGGGAGACACACAAATGCTTCATGGTCCAGGCCATCCTTACCAAGAAAAGGTTAATTTGCAGCACTGTGGCCTTCAGCCTTCTCCCCCCACCCTGCATGGAATCCTTTAATCACGTTGGTGCGGTGAAATTTCAGCCCTGAAATGGTGCCTTTGTGCAATCGTTTTGGCGTCTGCCATGGAGCGCGGGGGTCGTTTTCTTGTCCTTTTTTACTTTTTTTTTTAAATTACTTCTTTGTTCCTCCCCGCCTCCCCTCCCCTCCCCAGCCTTGCATCTGTATCAGATACGATTAAAGGGATAGGGAAGGATGCCGGGCCAGCTCCTTCTATGCTGCAAGAGGAGTGGTTAACCCCTCTGTTACCAGCAGCGCTCAGTCCTGTCCTAGTTGTTAGGACACTCCTAGATGAGAGGAGGCATCCCCCTCCATTAGATAATGGTTGAGGCAGAACTCACTCACTTCTTTCTTCATGTGCTTTTTGAAGAGCTGGAGAAGGCTACCTGTGTGGGGTTAACACCTTTCTTTTCCTACTCTTCTGTTCACTGATACCGTGTTCCTTCTCTCTCCCACCCTTGTGATCAGCTCTCCTACCTCTTAACTCCACCACGGCTTCCCTTCTTTCCCCCACATGCTCCTGACCTGCTCAGGGGTGCAGTATTTCCCTTCTGGACTCTTCCCACAGCCTGTAATTTGTGGGTAGAGGTTTATCCTCCTCTCCAGTGAATGGCCACAGTCCTATTTGGCATGGAGCTCTTCAGCTGGCATCACCCTCATTAGATGCATTGAGCTATTCTGCTGTTGCTCTTGGTCCTATACAGGACTTCATCCAAATAGTGCTGTGAGTTTTAAAAACGTTTGAACGTGTTCAGCAGTTCCTAGACATCCTTCTTACTCTACTCACCTTCAGTGAACACAAACTCACTGGATGGATCACATGCATCAGCATTGAAACTCTTTGCAATCAGTTTATGATTGTTGTGGAATGTGTGTGTTAATTGGAATCCTACCTTGCTACCATTGGCCTTGAGAGATGTTCTTAAGCAGACTAAAATCTGCTGTACATTTTCTTTCCAAATGTCTTCAGATAACCTCCCAGGACTTTACACCCAGGATGTCTTCTTCAACAAGTAAGAAGGTGTATGCATCTATTCTTGACATACTGTGTATGAGCATTTGTATTTAGGTTCTCATTTGTGGAAGGCAAGAGGCCACGGTGTTGAGGTTCTACAGAGAAATTAATGGTTGCTTCCAAAATGCATGAATTTGCATTTGTGGGGAAGTTTGGGGTTTGGGAGTTTTGAAAGCATGCCATCTGCCGCCCGGTGATGAGGAAAGAAACAAGACAAGAAACCCCATGCTCCTATTACAGTCACACTAAGAAATTCATGGGTTAAACACATGCAAAACAGTGCTTTTCCTAATTGCATGTGCTGAATCTTAGCTGAAGAACATAAGTGAGTGCTACTACATCTCTCACTGAAGAAATGACTGGAGCTGGGGTGTGAACAGAAGAGGAGTTTCATCTCCATGAAGGAGTCTGGTAAAGCCAGGCAGAGCTCTGCCTGTATCATTTTCATGACAGGCAGAGGGAGGCTGTGCACGGGATCCGTATGGTGGTGGTATCACCCATCCATACAATTACCGGAAAAAAACAGAGGCTTGCATGAAAGAGGTCAAAAAAACCCAGACGCATGAAAATGAAACTTTTAAGTTTATTATTCCATATGTTTAATGCAGAGTTAATGGTGCTAGGACAGCATAAGACTGGGGAAAGGGAGGTGGGAGAGGAAGGTGCTACTTGCATAAATAAGGGGACAGGGCTGGAAGAGGTTACATGCGTACAAGGAGCAAACATTCTACATCTTTTCAGACACCACAAGGATAAGTCATCCATAGCTAAGGGAGGCAGGAAAAGCATCTGACAGTCATGTCAGCAGAAGGGTACAGTGGTACCGATCACAGTCCACGTTTGGTCAGGGTATTTTGTCTTTCTAGACTGGAATATCCATTGGAAGGTCTCGTGACATGTCTCTGTGATCAGTTGCCAGGAGTCATCTTTTCCTGCAGCAACTTTTGTGCCAGTTCACTCCCTGGCATGACAAACCACTCCAGTCCTGGAGGTGACAAAGAAGTAAGCAGACTGTCCTCAGGTGTTGGGCTGAAAACAAGAACTTGATCTGACTGCAAGAGCTGGGGGCTTCCAGTTTGAAAGCCAAAGGGGAAATCAAATTCCTTTGCGCCTAAATAGGGTTCTCTTCCTTACACTCGTCCAAGGTTGGATGCATATGTACCTTGCTTAAAGCTGCAGGAGTATCTTTCCATCCTCAGCATAGGTAGGAGGGAGTTGCTGACTGGAAGACATGGTGAACAAACACGTGGGGATGCACAGCCCATCAGCCTGAGTTTGGAGTGGGCGTTCAAAGAGAGTGTTGGAATCGACTTGGGGTGTTGGCAAGCGCATAGTAACTTTCTTGGTGCCTCTTCGTTTCAGGCAGTGCACAGTCAGACATGGAAGAGCGAGGACAAAGTTTGTCTAGAGGTCACTTGGGATACGGGAGAGATGAGAAAAGACTGAAATGCCAGACATAAATGAACAATATAGAGTAACTGTAAAAAAGCAGGATTCATCCACAGCACCTTAGTGATTCACTGGTCCTTCCCCACTTCTGCACCTCCACACATGAACACGCGGGCTGTGATATGAGTAACACTAGGGTTCCTGAGTCCTATGTGTTGTTCAGGCAGGCATTAACATTTCCATGCAGGAAAGAGTGTGGGATTAAACAGAGAGAAGATGGAGAGAAGAGGTGGGAATTAAAACTAGGATGCAGCTGTGGGAATCAGCAGGGAAGCAAGCGTAGGTTGGTCTTCCAACAAAGTTCAAGATTCATGCATGTGTGAATCTTAGGCAGGACTGCTGCACAACACTGATCACAAGGAAGCCGGCCATGCCATCCTCCCCACTACTCCTCGCATAACAAGTTCACCAAGGCTGAGCAACCACCTTTCACCCGCAGCAGGTGAGAAAGTGCTGGCCATTGTGGCCTGTTGGAAACACTTGCTAACTCCCTGGAGCAGTCTGGGGAGGGGAAGGAAAGGACAGTCTCTCTCATCGTACAGTCCAGGGTGCACACAGCGAAACCCACCATGGACCAGTCACTCCATGTCTAGAATCCTCCTCATCTAGAAGGCCAATAAGGTGTTGCAAGCCAATCACGTGGCTTGCGTGCGTGGAATTGGTACAGGGCGAAAGGACGGAAAACCTTCCTCTAGGCGGGTGAGCCAACGATAGCCGGGGTCAAGAAAGGCACTTCTATATACTCAGTGGGTTCTGGTGGCTGGATGGCACTGAGTGACCTCGGAGTTCGGAGGCTCTTCTGCCTGTGCTGATTCTTCGGAGCCTTTCCGTCGCTGCTTCGGTCACTGTTCCCCATTCCCTACGGTCTGGAGAGAGTTGTATACACGGGCTGTTCCCAATGTGTGGGGCTATGGGACTGTGGCACGGAGGGTGCAGGGTCAGAGATGGCAGTGTAAAGGGGACGTTGGGAAGGTCCCATATAGGAGAAGGCTGAGTAGAGGCCAGAGGCTTGGGTGGAATGGCTGTAGTAGGGTCCCGAGGGCTGGTGGTCCGGGTAGTCAAACTGTGGCCTGGAGATGGAGGGGAAGGCCGAGCCGTAGTGGGGCAGACTCAGGGATGTATAAGCTATCTGGGAGGTGGAGGGCTGGTCGGTGTAATGACCTCCAGGAGCAGACCCCTCCGTTTTCACCTGGGCCTTGGAGTCCACCACCGATGAGGTGGCAGTGGACAAGGAGACTCCATGCTGCTTGGAGATCCAGGCAGAGTGTCCGCTGGCTGCAGCCAGGGCGCTCCCGAGGCCATAGCCAGCAGCCGCTGCTGCCGCGTAGCCCCCAACATGGCCCGGGTGGCCGGCATGTCCGTTGGGCGGCAGGTACTGGTCGAATTCGTTGACATCAAAGGTCTCCATGTTGGACATCACTTCGTGGCTGATCTCTCCAATGTCCACATTGCCAAAGTCAATGTGTGGCTTTCCCCCTTCCCCCAGGGAACGCCCTTCCCTCTTGGAGTCGGCTTTGCCTGCCTGCATCTCGGTCTTAGGGGTGGTAGGAGGTGTTGGGGGCCCATGGCTCTGACCTGCAACTTGAAAAACATTTTGAGGAGGAAAGAGGGAGAAGAGATGAGTTACTGCTTTAGGCCTGGCTTTATACACAGCCCAGCTCCACTCCTCCCAGTATGCCAGCAACCATTAGACTGGAGACTTCAGTGGAGGGAGAGAAGCAGCCAGCCAAAACCAAACCTTTTTCTATAATCTTGTGAAAAGAAATAGGAGAGTGCAGCAATACCTTGCCTGGCCAGAGGAATGCACGCACCCGTGAAGCCCAAGCACGTTCCTGTACCGCTGGCTCCAGCAGTTTGCTGAGCCTCCAGCACATCGCTGAGGCTTTCACCTTGATGACTTGTCTGTTGTGAGCCTCTGAGTAGGCTGTAACCTGTCAGTAGGATTACAGAGACCTGAGACTCACCTGAGGAGTGATCCGGATGACCATCGGACATGGGCGACCCTTCGCCAGGATGCCTGTGATCCAGGTGGGCGTTCTTGTAGTGGGCCTGAATGGCAGCAGCCCCACCGGCCTCCCCCTCCACTTGGCCTTCACCCTCGCCCTGCGTGGCCTTGCCGTTTTTCCGCCGGCGGGGCTGGTACTTGTAATCGGGATGGTCCTTCTTGTGCTGCATCCGCAGGCGCTCCGCCTCCTCGATAAAGGGCCGCTTGTCGCTTTCGTTCAGCAGCCTGCAGAGGCCAAGGAGGTAAAGAAGAGGGGAAGGAGAAGGGCAGGTATGTCAGCACCCCTCCCACATCTATACACAGCACTGTGGGACACTGTAAATGCATATGTCAGGGTGTTGCACCATTGAGGGCGTTTCCCAGAACAATAGGGAAAGTTTGGAAGTGTTTTCAGTGGAGATGGCAATGTTTTCATCCTCCTTGTTAATTATTAAGCCCTGACACTGGTTAGTGCCAGCACTGGGTCCCCCTGCTCCAGCTGTGTGATGCTTCTCACCTCAGTCAGTTCAACACCTCCATCTTACATTGCCCAAAAGCAAAGCGCAGCCTTTCATAGCTGTGTAAAATAAGGCTGGAAGATATGTTTCGAAGGACTTTGGGCAAATTAAGAGCAGTTGGGATCATCCTTCGGACTAAGGCAGTGTGGCACACCCTTGCTACCTCTGGTCCTGCCTCCCGCATGTCTCGTGCTCTTCCCCAGATTGTATATACTCCAGTTTAATCTCCCACCCCTCCATATGCTCTGCTTGAAGTTTGAGGCTCTGCTGAGCAGAAGTGGCAGCAACTGGTGTTGGCTTCCCCGTACCCATGTTGCTCTATGGAGCTTGCTGGGCCTTTGAGCATCTTGCAGTATCCTAAGAGGAAACTGAAGAAAACTTCAAAGCAGGAAGCTAGTGCATTCTGCTGCTCCTGGAGCTCCTGCTCACCTTAGATATGGATAATGCAAAAGGATGAACCACAAAGGACCAGCCCTTCTTGCATTTAGCCAAGCAGTTGTAAAAAATTTAGCTGCTACATTGCTAGGCGTATAGAAATAGATGAGCTTTGGTCTCTGGATCAAAAGCACTGCAGAAACATAAGCTCCTTCTCTCTATTCCTGCCAGGTCATGGGCTGCTCTAGTTAAAACGGGCTTTCCACGGAAATGGTGAAACATGCGGGCAGGATGGCTCAGAGCACTTGAAGATGAGATCAGCCTCATTATTCAAGCCTCTAGCAGCGTCTTAGCTTTAAGCACTTCAGTTTCATTTATGATTTTACCCCTCAAATACTCTTATGACTCAAAGTCATCCTGCTTCCAGCCAGAAACCAGTGCTCTCAGAAGGAACCAGTCTTCCCATGACTTGCAACTCCAACAGCCGGTAGAAATGGCAGGGCTCCCAGATGGCAAAACCTCCTCCATTTATGGGATGTCCATGCCTTTTTCTCCCAACAAAAGAAGTACCTGGCAGTGGGGTTTTGCTAGCACCTCGATGCCCCTGAAGCCCTTAGCACTAAAATGTGACCAATTTTGTTAAGCTGTAAGCACTGAGGAAAAAGGCCTGAACTGGCTTGAAAGAAGACAAAGGGGAGGCATGGCTCAAGGAGCATATAGGGTTGCCAGCAAGTACTGAGTTGGTTCCTAAGCACTGGCTTTCACCCTGCTCCTTGTGCATCCCCTCAGCTGGCAGCCAGAGGTGTATGGCACGGGCTGGAGCCCATAACGATGCTGACCTGGATTCAGTCCAGGCAGCCTGAACAGGTCATGGCCACACACCACATTCCTCCACTGCCTTAATCCCAGAGATTAAAGCAATTGAGCCACCGAGAATCCAACACCAGTTTTCCTGTCTCCCTCCTGCCACCATACACTGTGCTCACATATCCCAGAGTGCTCTAATCCTGCAGCCTGTGCTGCTCCAGATGGCCTTCCAAAGGGACACCATGGCCAGCCCTTCTAGGCATTGTGGACCGGAAGGCAACTTTGCCTTGGCAAAACCTTCATCCTTGTAGAATGCCTCATCTTCACGGGAGATGGAGAATGCAGGCAAAACCTTCAGCCTTGCAACCTAGGACACTTCAAGGCTTCCTGCATGCCCAACCCGAATGGTGCTACACCTAATGAGATGCTGTGGTTGGGCATGAGAGGTCTCTTTCTACGTGGGCACCTTTTGGAGCAAGAGCGCTGTAGGCCACGGGCAGTGGCACCAGCAGGACAGTGACAAGTCCACTCCCCACACCCTTACCTTCTTTCCAAAGCTGCCTGCTCCCTCCTCCTCCCCCCCCGGCTGGGATAAGAGCTCAAATCGGCTTTAGCAAAGTGAAACTGGTGCAAGCAGGCAAAGGCCAGAAGATTTGGGGGGATTTGGATTTCACTTGCTTCCTGCCCTCCCCCTCCTGCCTCCCACACCCCACAGGCTGTAATGCAAAGGAATCTCGCACGAGCAGAGAAGTTACGGATCACAGAGCAAAGCCCTTCATGGGGCTTAACGGAGCCCTCACCACCCTCCCCGACACCGAGTGCTCACGCCAGAGTTGAGGGGAGAGGGGCAACCATCCAGTGCCCTGCTCCGGGAGGAGAAAGAAGGGCTAAAATCTGTCTGCCCACCTCTCGTAGCCTTCCCTGCTGCCGCCTGGTATTGCATGGCGACCGGCACGGCACCCAGAGACCTGACCCTGTGCCGGGACTCAGCTGCCGATGAGTCAGTGTGGTGATGGGGTAAGGCATCAGAGTTGAGACAAGGCAAGGGCTGGCTGTGAGCAGAAGGTAGGTAGGCGGGCTCCCTTGCACGTCCATGGCCCTGGATTTTGTGGATGTGACCTTATTCCTTGGCACTGCCATCCCCAAGCAAATAGCCCTCCGTTGGGTCCCCTCGCTCCTCCCTGCTGAGCCTGCCTTCTCTTTTTCCTATGCCTCTCTTGTTTTCGGCCCTGGAGGTGGTGCTGGCTGGCATCTTGGCTGAGAGTCATGCCGACATTTTCAGCAGCCAGCCTCCATTTGAGAGCTGCTCCCTGTCCCACCCGGGGAAGGAAAGCAGCCAAGGCGAGATTTCATGACTACCGAGCACAGAAACCATCGTTTCTGGTCCACGTTCGGTTTGTCGACTGCACCCCTCGCACACCCTAAGCTGGAACAGACTGGGGGAGATGTATGGGGCCATAAGCCCCCAGGCACTGCACGTGGTGCTAGCGTGGCCATCAGGGCATGTCCTGCAGCCTTTCCCAATGGGGACTGGAGCCCGTGGAGGACATGGGGATGGCACAGAGATGAAGGAAATACCAGGTTTCAATAAAAAGCTGGGCCATTGCAGCCCATTTTGCAGAGGTGCAAATGGGGCAGCACTGGGGTTATCGATCACTCTGATACTGCCTTTCAAGGTCTCCCAGCCTCTGCTGTCCCCACCCAGCGCCGATCGCTGTGGGCATGCTTGGTTTAATGGTGATCTGCAGGCAGGCTCCATGCTCACCAGCACTTGTCCCTCTGAGTAACGTGCCCTTTACCTGTGTAAGCCCAGAGCAGCCGTGTGGCAATGTGAGTTGTCTGCATTTTCCAAAGCATCTAGCAGTGTAGGGTTTGGGTGGCCGCATTGTAAGGGTGAGGATATGCAAACATCCAGGGCCCTTTGCAGGGACCCTCATCAGATATTTGGGACTAAACGGTCCAGAGCAAAACCTATCTGCTTGCAGTTGTACCAATGTGTAGGAGCTGTACCTTAGGGGACAGCATAGATGTGGGCAATGGGAACCTCAGTGCAGACCCAACTGTACCGTGGTTGGAAGACCACAGGTCTACTATCCTGGTAACCTTTGGACCCCCTCTCCCGGCGTTCTGTTGGTTGATATTTTCCCCCAGCCTCACACACGCACATGGTCCTACCCAGACCAGACACTGACTGTACCCATAAGCCAGCTTACTCTGCTGCATGGCCCCCATTGGGGCTGACAGCTCAGAGAGCCACAGCCTGCACTAGGGACACTCGGAGAGGAGATGTGAAAGCAGCTGTGTGGCAAACTGCAGCACACAACAACCCCAGGCCTGAGCCTGCAAGCTTCTCTGCTTGACCCATGCTCCCCTAGAAACACCAGGGGATCGAGACTGCTGTCCAGCGGCACTGTCCCCCTGCTCCGAATCCCATGCATCCAGTAATGGTAACCATGCCCTGGGAGCAGGGAGGCAGTTGGGTGCATAAATGTGGCTGCAGGCTGGGAGCTGTATCTCCCTGTGCTCTGAATGCAATACCTACGGAGAGCTTCACTGCTCTGCTGTATTTTCAAGGGAAATACAATGTTTGGAGCAAGGCCGTTGCTCTAAAATCTGGCAATATTTTGCAATAAAGGAGCAATACCTTAAAATAACACTTTTTGTGAATTAAAAGGGTGGTTTCCCCCTGTACACATACGCCTTCCAGCACAGCTTCACAGTCCAGAGGCGGGCAGCAGAGTGGTAAAGAGAAGGGAAGGCAATGGGGAACAAAGCAGGAAAGAGCAACAGATGAGACATCTGCAATCACACCCTGCCTTCTGCTTCACAAAGAAATCCCTTTGCTGGAGTTACACTTGAAGTTGGCGGGTTGGGGTAAACGGGCAGAGGGAGAAGTTAGACCCCAGTTCCTTGTGAACAAGGAGGTTTGAAATCAGGAGGAGACCTCGGCATCAGCGGTTGGATGGGGTGTGTGTTTTGCTTCTGCTTGGAAAAATACATCTTGGCCCACCCCAGGTTGAGGGCTTCCTCCAGGAGATGCTGTCAGGGCTGGAAAGGGAATGAGGGGGCCCGTTTGGGCCGCTTGGTGCAATGCGAGGAGGGGGATGGTGGTGGGGACTTGCAGCAGAAGGTGTTTGTAACAGGTTGGTGGGGTTATCAGCAGAGACCACCACGAGGGAAAGAAGTGGCACAGCCAGCATGACTCGCTTGGCTTGGGCACGGTGGGCTGTCTGCACGCCCAGGGGCCGGCTGCCATCAGTGCGGGCAGCCTGTTGGTCTGTGGAGGAAGAAGGAGCGGGCTGGGGAGGGTACGTAAAAGATCCAGGGATGAAAATAGGCACAACAAAGTGATGGGGCCAGAAGGACGAGCGTGGGTGTGCCAGCAAGAGGGGAGCCGTCTCACCGGGTGCAAAGGGAGATGGTTTCAGCCGGCATGTTGCAAGAGAGCCTGCTAAGGCTGGGACTTCTGCAGGTCTCTTCCTGCTAAACCTCAGCCCCACCTTCTAGCAGGGTCTCTCCTTGTCCATCTCTTTGCACCTGCATTGCCTGCCGGAACTGGGACTGTCCTGGGAAGGACTGGTGGGGGGCTCTGACTGCCTGGCTCCCTTCCCCTGCCCTTCCTCCTTGACCATAACTTGGTTTCCTGCTTGCTCTGTGGTGCTGTGCAGAAAATAACCCCAGCATTGGGACCCAGCTTCAAATAGGCTTGAGGCAGCCACCAGTGCGTTAAGTTGGATGGGGCTCAGCCTGGTTCCTTCTAGCGCATGGCTTGGCCCAACAGAGAGGGTGAGCCAAGGAAACAAGATCTACCCTGGCAGTCAGGCAGGAGAGGACCCGAATGAGAGCGTCCTGATCAGGAACAATAGGGGAAGTTAGTGGGAAACACATGGAAAGAGCTGCTACCCAGGATGGAGGTGAGCTGTGCTGGAGAAACCTTCATGCATTCAACCACCACTCTTGCCCTGTCACCACCAAGGAGCCCCTGCTAAGTCTCCATCCTTCCACCTACCACAATATCTCTCTGGGACACCCCCAAACCTCAACCCTTGTGCACCCCTTCTGCCTGCCCACTCTTACCTCCAGAGCTTCCCCAAGGTCTTACTGAGCTCGGCGTTGTGGAGATGTGGGTACTGGTCAGCCAGTTTCCTCCGGGCAGCCTGTGCCCAGACCATGAAGGCGTTCATGGGCCGCTTGACGTGGGGTTTGCTCTTGTTACTTCCATTGACCCGGACGGGCATGGGTACCAGAGTCCAGTCATAGCCGCTCAGCACCTGGCTGACTGCCTCACGGATGCACACGGGGAACTTGTCGTCGTCCGCCTCCGAGTCTTGCTGTTCCTTCTTGACCTTCCCCATGTCCCCATTCCCGGAGCCGGTGAGGTGCGAGGAGTTGTCTGATGCCATGGAGGGTCCTGGCGAGAGGCAGTGGTGGTCTTCAGAGCCCACGGGGCTCATCTCCACCTCTGAAAGGTCTTGGTCGTCAGCCATGGTTGCGCTCGAACCCTTCTTCCTCTTCCTTCTTGATGTCCTTCTTCCCACTGGGGAGGGGAGGGAGAAAGACAAAAACAAAGGAAAGAAAGAGAGGGGTAGAAAGAAAGAAAAGGAGAAGCAACCACCAAATGTGAAAGGGACTCCAGGGTCTCTGGAGAGCTGACCAACGAGGCAGGGGCCACTCAATAAAAGCGCAAGCAAAGCGATTGCCGTGCACACCGCAGAACCCGTGATCCATGGGGGTTGGGATGGGTCGGGGCCCCTGATTAATTGGGATATCACTCCCTATCTCTGCATCGCGTGGAGCTGACGTGCGGAGGGGCCTGTGGCAGAGGGATAAGAAGGGTTGGGGACCTGAGGAGAGAGTAGCACAGACCATCCTGCCTGGGTGCAGCTCCCCACAGGGAGTGGGATAGGGGGAGAGCTACAAAACTTGTGTGGGGCATTGCCCCTTTTTTGTGACGGTGTGCAGTGAAATGCCAGCGCAGTGTCCAGGGTGAGGGACGGGAGGGAGAGCGCCAGCAGTGTATCCATAAACCAGAAGGGATCGATTTCAGAGGAGCTGAGCAGGCAGCAGCACCGGGCAGGAAAAACAGCCCAGGCTCTGGGTTCGCACTCGGAGTGCCTGATCCCGGCTGCGGGGACACCCCATCCCTCACCCTCTTCTTGCAGCTCATAAACCGAAGGCTTAAAATACACCTACGCTGCACACACACCCCCCCATCTATGTGCATGTCTGCATGTACATATTCACATTCATACATCTATTTACAGGTACAAACACAAACCAAGTTTAACTTTGAGACAAGCCTGGGCTATGGGTTGCCTGCCCCACACACTCCTCCTCTCTCCTTCTATCTGCAGTCACCTCTAAAAGTCCCTGCTGCCGTGCAACAAGTTCCCCCCTTGGAGAAAGAAACACTCTAAAAATAAAGGCCTCTCTATTCCCCCCCCCCCATCCAGAAATAGGGGAAAAAAGAAGAAAGAAACTAGGAAAAGATAAAAAGAAGGGCTAGAGAAGCGTGCCTCTGGCTTATCTGGCAAACAGCAGAGCAAGGGTTGCTATCCATCCCTCCAGTTCCAGAGGGTGGCACAGACCCTCACTGCAGACACTGGATAAAGTACAAGCAGGGGGGATAGAAGCAGGAGCGGAGGTGTGCGCCTGTGCGAGCGGGCTCAGGTAGGGACTTACGTTGCTGGCCGGGGTGGCGGGCAGGTCCTGCGAGGGCTGTGATTTGTATTCCAATGGCCCCCTTGTTCTCCCTGCCAGCCCCGGTGGCGTCGGGGCGTGCGGCGCAGGGAGGCTCTCAGGCAAGTGCCATTCCTAGAGGGAGCTTGGTTTTTACTAATACCCCGGCTGGATGCCTCTCGCTGGCTTTGCCGCTTAGCACCGGGGGAGGGAAGGGCGGAAGGTGGAGCCAAGCGCTCCTCACAGCCAGAGCACACTCGGTGGGGGACGGCGGGGAGGGGACGCAGGCAGCCCCCAACCCCACCTCGGCCGTCGGGCATGTTCCCCGCTCGCCCTGGTGTGGGCTTCTTCATGGGAGCTGCTTGTCTTGGGCAGCGTGTCCACCCAAGGGATGGTGCTGGAGGATCCAGCCCCAGGGGGTTGAGTGGTGGGGTGCTGGAAGGGGTCTGGGGTGGTCTGGGGAGGTGGGTGTGCACCCCAGGACTGGAGTCCTTCTCCCTCCCTTCTCCTTCCCGCTGCTCCTGAGGAGTCTGGTGCCCCCATGTGCCAAATGAGGCCCTGGTCCCTGTCACAGAGCCTCATAGGGACCCCGCTGTGTTGCAACAAGTTGGCCAAGGACCCTGGGGTCAAGATGCTGCCGAAAGGGCATCCTCGTTCACACCTTAGTGTGCAGGTTGGGGAAGGGGATGAAGGAGCCTGAGGATGGAGGACATCAGGTCCAAGGAAAACACTGTGCTGCTGGATGTGGGTACCAGTTTGAACCTTGTTTAGCACCCAAGGGATGGTTTCATCAGGTGTTCGTTTCAGCAGGGTCTTTCCAAGGGTTTGCTTCCTCCAACATGCTGAATTGCTCCTGAAGGCAAATGTGGGGTCTTGCATGAGGAAAGGGAGGTCTCTGGATAAGAAGGACTCTCACTTACTCATCCTTGCTGTTGTGCACTGGGACATGTAGAGGATCTCAGCACTCAGTGGCTTAGGATGTCATCACATCTTCCATTTTCTACCTCGCTTTCCTTCCCAGATGCCTCTGGTAGTTGGCTTCTTCACTTTCCTGCATCACCAGGGCTGGCACAGACCAGTACCAACCCTGTAACCATGAGAGGTCACACACAAGAAATCTGATGATCCTCACGGGTCCTCCTCAGTGCGCAATGAGATAAACCCAGCTCCTGCCCCAGCTCCTTGCTGGAGAGCCAGCCTCAAGATGCTTCAGTGCTAAAGCAGAGAACACAACGAGATGAATGGATGTGACCCAGGAACCAGCTTCAAGGGATTTCAAGAGTGTTTTCAACTCCTGTGGTGGGTGCTTACTCTCAAGAAACTTCATGTTTGAAGGACCCACCAAAACCACATGAAGCGTAGGGGAATCAGTGCAAAGGATGGTGCTGAGCACTGAGCTAAAGCCCTTACAGCAAATCTTTGGGGCTGGCTGCTGTCCTTGCAGACCTGGCCATTTCCCTGCCTGTCTGCTGTTGTCTGGAGTAAGTAAAGCTCTGAATCCATGTAATGTCTGCAGGGAAAACCTCACTAGAGCCCAGTGAGAAGTTTTTACTGAAGAGAGCAGAGAGGGAATGGCTTCATTCCATCAGCATCCAGCAGGCAGAGGTGCTTAAAGGTTGCACTTTGATGGAGAAGATCCCCATCAGGAGATAAAGGAGCCCCACAGGGCACTGAGAGGAGCTTCCCAGCCTGCTCAGTCGTACTCCAATGCAGCAGCCTCTTGGCAGACTGCAGGGAGAACAAGACAGTGCTTGACCCTGGTAACACAGTGAGGTGCTGGGGCTCACATCTTCCTGCTTGCCCACAGGATCTGGGTGAGCAGATGCATCTGACTCACCACTCCCAATGGGGGCAAGAATGGGATCAAACCCAGGAGGGATTTCAGCAACCCACATGGCTCTGGAGCGGTGTTTGTCCCACTGCTCATCATCCCCTTCAGGGGCTGCTGCCAACTGCTAGGCAGGAGCCAGGTCCTGTTCATGCCATGTTGAAGAGCTGCAGACAGGGACATCCTCAACAGCCCCTGTACAGGCTACGCAGCCTCTGCATTTGCAGCCTCAGTCTCCTCACATTTAGATGGCAAGGAAGGGTTTTTCCCTTCATTCTGCCTTTCTCCAGTTCTTGCTTCGTGTCTCCTTCGCTTTTTGCCTCCTTTCTGTGCTCTTTCCCTGTAGTGCCTTTTCCCCTGTTTCCATTCCCTCCCACAGCACTGATTACTTGTATATCCTTTTCCAAGTCTCTTCTGTCCACGTGTCATCTCTTCTCTTGTGCAACGAAGAGGTAGATGCAGGAGAGTGTTGTGGAAAATGCACCTCTATTGCCACAGGAAGAGGTGTGATGCTTTCTCCGCAGTTGAGGTGAGGAGACAGAGGGGAACTAGAAGAGACCATCCCTGTTTCAGGAATCACTGCTGTGGCATGTCTCTTCCTTCAGTTTCCCTTGGGAGTCCTCTTTAGAGACCAGGACCCTCCAAGAGCCACTGCTGGCCACATCAGCTAACACTGCAGAAGTGGCCATTCTAAATGCAAGTCTTCCTAATGACTGTTCCCTGGGGAAATACTGATATAACAGGTTTCCAGCCCTTCTATTCAACATATATTTCTATGGATGAGGTGCTCCAGGTTCATAAAAAGGGACAATCCTTTGCAGATGGAGAATCTACCAGTGAGGGTGGTTCATGAGCCTGAGACCTTGCTCAGCCACAAATTCCCTGTGACACGTCAGTGAAATGAATCCTTTGGGCCTTAGTGTGCGATTTCTCCTCCATAAAGCCATACTGGGAGGGGTGAATGTGTGTGGGAAGTGGAAGCATCCCACCACGTGCGGTGCCCCTGCATCCGCACTGCTCATAGGGCAATAGGAAAGGTGCCTTGGCTGTTGCATCATTGCAAGGACAGGTGGGGTTCCAATGAGGGGACCACATTGGTGGGACACCTTCACCACCATGGTGGGATCACTGATGTTGCTGGGGATGGATTTTGCTGGATGGTATCCATCCTATGCATGTATAGTAAGGAGTAAGAGAGGGGAAGGCCTGTCTGCAGCAGGATCCCCAGCATCATGAGAGCCAGGGCCAGCTTTTGTCCCCTGCCCAGCCCGGGGGCACAGCACTGGTATTGTCCCAGGCCTGCCTGGGAAAATGGGAGGGGATCCCTGTGAAATCTTTCCATACAGTAAAGCAGCGTCAGAGCAGGGGAGCGAGGGGGGAACGGCACAGACAGTCAGAAACACACACACACACACACCCCCCCGGCAAACAATACCCGCAGTGTGCTGAGGGAAAGGGAGACCCATGAATTGGGAGTTTGATAAGGATTTTCTCCCGCGCGTGCCCGCTCTCTCAACGGCCCCTTCAGTTTTCCCAACACCCCCCTCCCCCCCTTTCCCCTCTCCTTCTTTCTTGTTTGGGCCTCAAACAGTGCGCCGTCTTTGTTCGGGATACAGGTGAACGGCAATCATGTGATGCACACACACAAAAACAGGCTTTTTAAGAGCGTCCAGCTTGCTCCAGACCCAAAGACGGGAGAGGACACCCGGGCCAGGAGGAGCTGAGGCGGCAGCGGTGGCCCTGATGGGGACAGCCACTGGGATGGACGAGCAGGCACCGCAGCCTCTGTGCAAAATCCCCTTCCCATGGAGGTGGGCATGCGAGGCTATGAGGGGCAGGAGGGGGGCAGGGGGGCAAGGTTTTGGATTTGGGGGGCTGGAGGGGGTCTTACGCAGGCCTACTTGCCTGTGTTGGGCAGGCTGGTGGGGGCTTGCGCTGGCCATGATGCTTTGGGAAGGACCATCCCGACATCAAGCCAGAGAGGGAGGTGCACAAGTCTCCTCTTGTCTCCTTGATGGGGAGGGAAGATGGATTTCCAGCGCCAAAGCCAAGCCCTCAGCCTTTGCTGGCTCCCACGTGGGGTTTGCATCTTCACCAGCGTGAGGCTGGAAGGGAGAGTTTGGTGAGGAAGAGGAGGGTGGCCAGCCCTCCTGATGGAAAGGGGGAATGTCTCCCTGCCCGAGCCGTGGTGCAGGGAGAGCTGAAGGGATTTGCTCAGTCCCATGGTGGCCTAGGAGTGAGAAAGGGAGAGGACAGGGCAACCCAGGCAGTCATGGGAAGGTTGGCAGCAATAGTTGACCCTTACTGGAAGTCCTGCTGCCCTGGCCAGAGTTAGTGTATCCAACACCCCCAGTGAGGACTGCATGCCCCCTTTGGTGAGGAGATGCCACAAGGCCCTATTACACTTGACCAGCATGACCATAAAATAGCTGGGAAGCTGGTTACTGGGAGGAAATGGAGGCTCGTGAGGGTATGGCCACGTGACCGCCTGAACCATCCACACAGCAAGTCAGGAGAGAACTGGGAAAATAGCAAGGTTTCGAAAGATGATTCTCTTCATCTGAAGATCGCCTGCGGGTGATGCTCCAAGGAAAAGAGGGGAGGAGTCAAGGGAGAGGCCACCATAATGCTTGGAAAACCTATGGGTCTGCAGCTGGTTTCACTCGTGAGACATCATGGGACATCACTGATAGCAGCCCGTGAGAGGTCAGGACCAGTACGTACCCTTTGCTGGAACACCCGAGCCCAGCCCTGTCTCCGCCACTTCCTCATGCCCTTCTCTTCAAATTCCTCACCAATCCAACGTCACGACCGCCCTTCCAGGCTCCCAGCCTGTAGCTTGCTTACATGATCAGGAGGAGCAGAGAGTGCCCAGAGCCCATATTCGTGTTACCCTCCATGATTCTGTGGCAGCTGTGATCTCCAAAGAACCCTTCAATTTGCCTTGTGCTATAGGCATCCTTCCAACAGGGAGACGGGCCCAGGGACCTCACTGGTTTTCACCGATGCTCCCAGTAGGGGTCCTACACCTTGCCAGATGTGAGCTGGATGCCCATGAGGCAGCACAAGGAGAAAGTGTTGTGGGGTCCCTCAGGGAAAGCAAAGAGCTGGGTTTGGCAGCACCACACTGTGTCGGTGGGGTTACAGGACAGCCATCTGCAGTGGGTGTGCAGGACTTCTTGTCATGGGGTACCAGGGGAAGCAAAAGGCAGGAGATGCCTGGAGTCCGTTACTACCTGACCAGTGTGATTGCCAACCCAGTGTCCTGCATGGGACAGCTAAAGAAGCCTTGCAGTGGCTGCCCTCCTCAGGGGTTATCATCCCCATGTGCGACAGGGTGATGCCGATCAGTGCATGACCCCGTGCTCCTATCACCCCAGCATGGAATGGGAGTCCTTGGGAAGCCGGTTTGGGATTGGGACTGGGACATGGTTGCAGAGTCCCACCTGCCTCTGGAGTAGGAGAAACCTTGTTCCCTGTCCAAAGAAGGCATGGTGAGAGATGCAGGTGCAGGGAACCCCAGCACTTCTGCCACTGGTGTGTGTGCCTTGATGCAGCCAAGCAGGAGATGTTGTTCAGTAGCATTCTGTGCTCTTAAAGCAGTGGGTTATGGTGCCAGCTGCTTCGGAGAGCTGCAGAGAAAACCTTGTGAAAAGGAGAGAGAAGAATCACTGCTGAGCATTGCAAAGACCCCAGGCAGCTCCTGTCCTGTCTTCTTGGCCAGCCCAGTGTTTCATGAGCATGGTGAGGGCTTGTGGTGGCTAAATGGGACAATTTTCCTGCATTACTCTGGCCTGGGAAGATCAAAGAGGAACGGGGCAAGCGTATCTGTCTGCTACCTCCTTTGATGGGTGGCACGAGCCTCCCTGGCCGTTAACCCCATCGTCTCCTGCCGGAGAGGCCAGGTGTACTTCCAACAAGGGGACCCCAAAAAGTGAGCACCGAAGGGGTGGGAAGCTGGGGGAGAAGAGGATGGATGGGGTTTGCCTTTTCTCACATGGAGTCTGGCATATCCTGTGTGATGTAATGGAGGGTGCTCTTGGTGTGCATGAGAGAGGAGAGATGCCCAGAGGGGAGAGGAAGGGAATTGTACAAGACAGGGCAGAACAACCAGAAAAGGGGACCCTCCCGACAGGACCTGTGGCCGTAGCAGCAATGAGTGACCCCAATGGGTGGCTGAAGCAGACCCGGGTGGTCTTCGCCCTCTGCCAGTTCTCTGGCTGCAGGGAGGCTCCTGGGGAGCCGGGGGAAGGGTTAAGTCAGGAAGGCTTCAGCCTGCTGCCTTGGCCCCTGTAATTCCTCCAGAGAGTAGGACTGGGAGAACAAGGAGCCCTTTCTGTTCACAGGAATTAATAGCAAAGAGTCATCTGGGGTGTCATTCAAGCCCTGATCAGCTCCCGGAGGAATGTGAGGGAGAGCAAGTGAGGGAGCACAGCCCGAGGCCGAGGCACCAAAGCCAGGGCAGGAGCAGTTTGGCTGGTAACCAGCGTTACCGGCTGGCATTTGGGGAGCAGGACCCCTTCACCCCAGCCTCCATGTCCCCTCTGCCCTGTGCAGGGGCTTACCATGACACCCATTCTCGAAGGGCTTCCATCAGTACCTAAGCTTGTTCCTTGTTACCCATCACTTTGTATTGGGAAGGGGGGAGATGTCCCAACCCATCACCACCGCTGAGCCTGGAGGGCTGGGCCAGGCAACCAGGCGCCAGCACAACCCCACTGCGCTCACTGTGGATATGAACTCCAGCAGACACCCCCTCTGCAGCCTCCAGCCTGTGATGACCATGGGGTTTGTCCTCCCAAGCAAGCTTGCCCATGGAAAGGATTTCCAGGGAGCCCTCAAACACGGCAGGGGACGTGGGGTAGTAGCTCAGGGGAGCACAAAGTTCAGTGCTGAAGCCTTTGCTGCTGGATCATCTTGCCCAAACTAACTCAGTCATTGCAATTTCAGGAGAAAAAGATCAGGTCAAGGAGTTACCACACTAATGGTTCATGGTGCTGCTTCACGGCCACACAGGAAGGCTTGAAAGTGCTGCATGGTGACACTGCAGTGTTGCCTGTAGTGGCAATCAGCCCCAGTGAGACATGCAGAGATTTTGGCTACATCTCTACGAGATGAGAAGAAGACCTTGGAGTCTATGTCCTATGACCTCCTCTTTGCCTGCATCACGGAAGGCCCGCTTAACTACGCCTGGTAGCACAAGATGACCCAAGGCTCTGGTGCTGTACATGTTCAACCCTAGGATATGGACAATGGGGCCTTCAGCTCTGCCGCATGGGGTGTGATCTGAGCTCACCAGCCTGGCAGTGAGTTCAGTTCAGGCAGACACACCTGCGTGAGATGCAAACAGAGCCATGCTGGAGTGCACGAGCTGCTTTTGCTGGCCAAAATGCATCTCACCAAAGCTTCCCTTCTTCCCCACGCACACCAGGTCAGGGCAAAACCAGTTGTAAGCACATCTCAGCATCCTCTAAGAGATGCATGGTGGTACTGGGATGGATTCCTCTGTCCCCTCCCTGGTCCCGGTACCACCATCACCGCTGCCGCCACAATGAGCGTGCCTTGTCGTAGAGGGGTTAATAAATGATGCAAGAAAGGAGCTCTTTAATGCACAGTGACCTTTGGCCTTTCATAAATCACAGTGTTGGGCTGCAAGTGAGCGGGGGGCGCAAGGCAGTGGGGGGAGAGGACGGGAGGGGGTCCCTGCAGCTGCGCCACGGAGTTGACATTGTTCCCACCATCACTAAAGTGCAACAAATCCCTCTATTGTGTTCCTGGTTTATCTGGTTCCTCTTGTTTATTAGCAGAGGTTGTTTGGCGCTGGCTCCAGCCCTGGGCGGGTGGAAAGAGTGTTGGCACGCACCAGAGGAGGGGAGGGAGGGAGTGGGGGGGATCGGGATGGGAGGACGAGAGCAGTTCATCAATGGCTGTATTGTCCCATCTTTTTTGTTGCTCCTGTAATGATATGTTCAAAAAAAGGGGATTAAATAAAAAAAAAAAAAGAAGAAAATAAAAAAGAGGGGGAAGGGAGGGGGGAGACGAGAGAGGGAGAGAAAGACAAACGGCACAGAAGGACTTGGTAAGAATGGCCAGTCTGGGCCTGCAGCGGATGCTGTCGCAGCTGGGGAGGATGGATGGGTCGGGATGGAGCCACAACGGGTCTGCTCTGTGCCTTTATGCTGCTTATTCAGGTTGGGAGTTGCGAGCCCCAGTGGTTCAGGCTGGACCCACCTGGGCCAACAGCGGGGACCACATGCCACAGGAGCGAGGGGCTGGGGATGGTAGGGAAGGGGAAGGAAAGCTGTTCTTCACATCCCTGGGTCTGAACCTGCCTTTGTACAGAAGAGGCGGTTGGGGGAGCAGAGCATCTTCTCAAAGCACTGACAGCATCCTTCATCCCACTTGGTCATCATCCCCCAACCTACCCACCCATCTTGAGAAGTACCAGTGCCCCTTCCCAAACTTCCAGTTTCTTGCACCCAGATCTTGCTTACACTTGCATTTTTTTCTTCTGGAGCTGCCTGTGGACACGTGCCCCTGGAGAGCTCCACTGGTTTTCATAGGGAGCAGCAGGACAGTGCTGGAAGATGGTGGCACTTCGGTCACTACTTTGCCTAAAGACAGATGACAGCACAGCTAAAACTGACATAGCCACAGCTCATGCTCTGCCTTGCTACCCATGGAGCTGAATGGATGCAAACACCCCTAAGAGGTGCACGTCCCACCATAAACAGCCTTTTTGAGATCAGAGTGATATTTATTGAGATAAGAGTAAAATTCTATCTGGGATGCTCAAGGACCTCTTCTAGTTCATCTCAGGATGAACTGGTTTTAACCCAACCACACCAACCGTTTCTGCTCCAGTGTGTCCATCACCTTAGAGCTGTTGCATGGGGGGCACCACACATGCACAGGAGCTCAGAGATTGAAACATTCTGCTGAACTTTAAATGGCAGGTTTTATTTGGTGGTTATTAGGCTGTTGTGTCTGACCTCTCATCTTTCAGCCTGGGTCAAGTTTTACATGTAAAATGCTGGTTCCAAATAAAATTTCAGGAATTTCCTTTGAAAATGTCCATTCACAACATTTTGGCATTTAGAAAACAGAATAACTCAGGAAGATTGTCTTGAAATGAAATTGTTTAATATTTTAAACGTCCCCCTCCCACACTTGCATTCCAGCCAGCAGTACTTGTTAAATTTGGCCTGGATCTGCAACTGGTTTCGTTCCCCTGAAGACCCATTTCTTGGCAAATCATTTACCAATAAATGCTTCCCCCATACCAGTCGTTCCTACCCTCGGCTGATGCCACATCCTTGCCATCTCTGGGAGGTGTCAGGGTCTCCACAAGGTGCTGGAATGTGTTTGGATCCTTAGTTCCCCCAAGTGCCACCTTGCCTCCAGTGATGTCAGGACCCATGGCAGGCCTGCCATCAGCCTGTGCCACCCGTTCCCTGAGGGTCAGGTGTGAAGCCCAGCACTGGCACAGCTCTAGCTTTGAGTCCTTAAAAACTAGAGGCTTAAACTCATGTAATGTGGTCACACGTTTGTGTGGCTGCTGCTTAAGGTGGTTCTAAAGGGACATGTAAGGAGCTGGGCTGTGAAGGTCTGAGGCTGTAGAAGTGAAAGGAGGGGCTGGAATGGGACAGATTCTCCCTTACTGCAGGGATGCATGGCAATCCTTTTCACATGAGTGGAAAACACAGTGTGTCAAAACTGAGAAATATTGCTGACTTGATTAAAGGCAATGTTTTTCAGGCCCTCTTTTCCCATGTAAACACAAAATGAGAGCTTGAACCACCCCAGTGGCCACACAGAGATGAGCGTTCAGCTCCCCACTTTCTTTGCCTATCACAAGTCTGATTGGCTTCTCCACTATAGGAAGTTCCCAGACTTAATTCTGTCTTCCCTCAGTCAGATATCCAACAGGTACCTCCATACCCAATGTCATCCAAAGCATCTTCATGTAACCTCTGAAAAGAAAGAATGAATAATTCCTACCAGCAGTCAGGATCACTACTTGTTCAGATGAAACAGCCAGTTTCAACTTGTCCTTCCTTTCCTCCAGTCCAGTGCCAGGGGACTTCATAGGACTTCTGGGTTACAAATATAAAGAGTTATAAGGTTTTCCTTGAAAAAATCTCCTCACACAATGAGTTTAGCAACTGGAAACAGTAAAGTTTGCTTGTGCCAGCTTGAACTGGTGGCACCATTAACCCTACACCTGAGCTGGATAGTCACAGGGATATATCAAAGCCAAATCCTCTTCTGAGACTGTCATCTCTCTATATTCCTCGTAGGCAGTCTAAATTTTGCCTAACCTAAGGCTACCTACCAGTCTCACCAGCCCCCACAGCAGGTGGCACTGGTGACTTTGAAGGAGATGCTCTTGTCTGCCCAGAGTAGGCCATGTCACATCACAGAAAGGACGGAGCTCTGCAACCTGGATATACAGCAGGCAAGTGCATCCCTGAGTGTCCTCAAAGACAAAGACTAGCCTGAGCTGCATCACCAGAGAACAGCATCTGGATCACACCATAGATGACCTCAAGAGCATTCAGCAGGTAGTAATGAGGACTGGTCAGGCTGTGCCTGCAACGCACTGTTGTTTGCAGCAGGGAGCACCTCTCCTTCCACATCAACAGATAATGGAAGAGAAAATAAATCCTCATCATGCACATCATGCACACGAGGAGGACCTCTCATCCCAGCCAGTGTGGGAGACTCTCCTCAGACACTGAGATCTCCGCTGTGCTCATGGTGGGCCTGACTCTGCTATCAGTGGCATCCCCTGGGGCAGAGACAGGACAGTGGCACTCGCCATGAACTTCCCTGTCTGAGCGGTTATCAAGGATCTTACCATTAGGTTTTGCTTTCCGAACCCCAGGGAAGTTCAAGGCATCACTTGTCCGCCAGTGATGGTTTGGGAGTTTTTAAATTACTATCAACATTAGGCTGGACATTCCTAACAAGGCCAGATGAAGTTCCTAATCAAGAGTACATTCAGGGCATTTTAAACCCACGTGCCACATCTTGGGAACAGCACAGCCCCTGCACCTCCACAGAGGGCTGCACCCTGTGCATTTTGCTCTGAAGCAGAGGGGTCACAACCCATTGCCCCCTGGGATGCAGGCCACGGTGACTAGAGGAGCATGGCACTGCTTGCTGAGCATCCTGGCCCAGATGGGCACCAGGACTCCCCGGCACCACCGGCTGCATCAGTGCACTGCCTGGAGCACAGCTGCCTCCTGTCCCCTCTGTCCCCTCTCCTCCCTACCCCCCCAGAAGACCACACAGCATCCATGGTCCCCTGGCCACCAATGTGGCCCCTCCATCAGGGGTCCCCTGCTCACTGGTCAGCTCTGTTTGAATCGAGGCATGAGAATTTGTCCCTCATCCACACAATCATCTTGCCTTTTCCCCCACAGCCATCAAAATCCTCCTTCCCTGCCTCCCTCTTTCTCCTTCCCGCCGCCTCCCCCTTCTCTCCCTGGAACTTCCCTGCAGCTGCAGAGCTGGCCAGACAATCGGGTGTTTTAGAGAAATACATTTTTGGGCTAATTTGCCATGCATAAGTGTTTCTCTTACCCTTTAAAGGCAGGGAACAAAGAGCACATTCTCCGGGAGCTCTGCCCTGTTGTGAGCAGCCCTGCAGCTGTACAGCGCTGTGCTACCCTCCGCTCTCCTGCTCCACTCTCTGCTAGCTGTGTAAGGAGATGGGGCTCTGCTTCTCCCTGGGACAACACCATCTCCTACCCATCACTACACATTTCTGGTTTATAAAAGCAGAGGCAGAACAAGTGGGGAGGGAAGGGATTTGGCAGCACTGCCACCTAGACTGACTCGCCAGGTCGTTCACGTACAGTATTTTATGTTGAGACATTGTTTATTGGGAAACAGCCCGAATTTCCCTTTATTTGAGGCTTAATCCTGTGTCCAAGTATTTATGTTATCACTTCAGTAAGTCACACTGGCAATGCATTACACACACTATTTTAGATTGCACAAAATGTTGCACTATCGAGGCAACCCAGTCATTCATAAAACCTCATGTGTGAGGTTTTCAGGTCCTATTAACTCACTCCAAACACCAGCAGCCATCCCTCATTTGGGAATTTCTCCGAGCATTTTCCTTTTTAAGGCTTCTTCAGGAAGAAGATGCAGATGTTCTGGCATGAACCACTCACGGGTTGTAGAAGAAGGAGATGGCCCAGAGCTGTTGGACACTGAGAAGCTAAAGATTTTTGTCAGCCTTCTGGGGATCCTATTTCAGCACTTGCTGAATAACCTTTTTCCTACCCATGGAAAGTTGGTCCAGCAAATGGATTCCTAAATGGTGCAACAGGTTCTGGTAAAAGCAAAATGAGGCTTTTAAACCAGCGAAGTCACTTGCAGCACTGTATCCAGGCAAACTCTTCCCATCAGCCCACTCTCATCCACCATGAATATTAACTCAGTTCAAAGCAGTCTTGTTTTCATCTCCAAGTCCAACACAGTGTAAGGCAGCTAATCCCATCAGGTCTAGCCTACCCAGAACATGCCCATATCGATGCCATCTCAAACCTGCATTCAGATTGCACTCAGTCCATGTATGTTTAGCTCAGTCACATCAAAGCCAGTGTAACTCAGGCCAAGCCAGCCATACCCAGGCCATTCTGAGCAAACTCAAGCCATGCTCCATTCAGGGATTAGTATAGTCCAGCCTGTCCAGTTGCACTCAAAGTCTAACCCAGTAAGAGGGTAACGCAGGATGTGCCGGCTGCAAGGCAACAGAAGCTCAGCTCTGAGACACTTGAACTGTGTCTTCAGGTAGAAATGTCTGTATCTCACAGAGATCATCATGGCTTTAAGAGCTTGTGGCACTTGATCTCAAACAGGTTAACAGCCTCGGTCCCCCTGAAACACCCTGCACACCATTCCCATACAGATGCACCCATTCTTCAGTTCTTTCTCACATGTTGTGCCCTATTATTTTGCCTCCAGCAGATCCTCTTGACTCGAATCCAGATGGATCTCTTGCAAAAAAAAAAAAAAGGACTTTGTTTTGAAATTATTCCATCTCTTTTAAGAATAGATAGGAAAAGAGGGAGAAGAGAGCAGCGAGGGAAGGGAAGGGTTTCGGGAATCATGTAATGCAGGAAAAGTTGAAGGTCTTATGGACTGGAGACTAAGATTCTGAGCATCTAAGCTAAGAAAGGCCAGTCTGGAAGAAGTGATAGCCAGAGGAATATACAGTAGAAGAAGGTGTAGGTGGCAACACCAGCCAAGTGGTAGGACAGTGGGACAGGTCAAGCCTCACCTGGCACAGCCCACTATATCCCAGAGTTCCTTCCTCATTGAGCAAGGTTGGTAGCTGTATGGATGTAAGAACTCAGTGACAATAGCAGTCTGTTAATGGAGCCAAGGTTCAAAGACATGTATTTGTTGTTAGTGTGGTGGCACTTGTTCCACACAGAACACCACCTGATCTTAGCTCAACTGAGATCTTAATGCTCTAAGACTCCTGCCTTGCTGTGCTACTGTGAATGATTTGTGTAAGGGAGCAGTGGAGAACTTTGACCTTCTTAGTTTCCCAACTTCATTTCAAACTCCAGGACTTGCCCTTCTGACTTTACAAGTGACTCCAGTAAGTGCCAGTCAGGTATTAAAACCATAGTGCCAAGAAAAAAGTCGATTTCAGATGGAATTGGAGCTGCTATAGTGAAAAATCCCACTGAGCAACGGGTTTAATTGTATTTAGCATTCCCCTGTAGGAGACTGAACTTGAACATCACTGTGTGATGTGCCCTGGCAGGGCTGCAGGGCACATCACACAGCACAGGTGGTCTGAGTGGCACAGGCAGGTTGGAAGCCAAGAACAGGTGCCAACACAAACATCCCAAAGCCCCAGAAGGAGCAAAATTCAGCTCCAGCCTTTGTGGTTACCACCTCCATAAGCCAGAAAAAGGGAGATGATAGAAAGGAGAGGAACAGGAGGGAAAAGTTTGGAGAATGGGGGAGGGCTGGAAGCCTGCAGGCTTCTGTGGCCACATGATTTTCCTGGTTGTTTTCAAAGCACTACTCTTAACACACAAGCACAAGTCCCATGTGATTGCTTACTTATGAAAGCACAGTCGTAATGTTGTGTGCATCTCACATCCGCTCGGCAGCCCACCTGACTGTGGGTTCCATGGGCCCCCCCTGCACCCTCCCGATCTCTGCCATCCAGCCAAGGGGGATGGGTGACCCATGATGGGTGGACACTGCTCCTGTCCTGGCGAGGTGGGGAAGCAGAGAGGAGGATCATCTTCCATTTTCCAAATGCTCTTTGCTTTCCCTTTGCCTGGCTCTGTGAGAGGAGGCTCCAGATGCAGGGTGTTGTCCTTTCTGTACTGTCATGGGGAGAAAAAGCTTTGATTTCAGATCTGACTGTCTTGCTTCTTTTAATTTACAGAGCACCTGGAAGCAAGCTCAGGTAGAAACCGACATGGTGCATGCTGATACCCCACTTTTGTTCTTCAAATAGGGGCAGCTTCTCTTCCCTTGGGTAGAACTTTTTCTTATCATCATCACATAAGTCCTCTTTCACCCAAAGGTTCGCTCGATAAAACAGGAAGCCTCCTTAGAAAGGGGAGAGAAGAGGGTAAGGGAGAGTGTTCGCAGTGAAATAAAGCTGCTTGTTTCTTTGGGAGTGGAGACTTTCACCTACCTTCAACTCATTTGTAGAGAGAACCCCATATCAAATAAAATTGCTCTTCTCAGTCAAAGGGAGGTCTAAGACGTGAGCAAGAGACATGCAAGCGTGTGAGAACAGTTTCTGAAGTCCAACAGTGGGAACTGAATTAACAGAAGTTGTGATGGGACAAGCTAATGCTGCAGTAAAAAATGCATTTTATGGTTGGTGTTTTCTCTCTTCACAGCCTGAGACACCAGTGTCCCTAGATAAAAATGTCTATGGAAAAGATTTATCACCTCATATGCTGCAAAAAAAGCCTCCGGTGATCTTTGCCAAAACCAAAGCTCCTATGAAAAAAGGACATCTGACATTTTAAGACTTTGGTATGGTCAAACCACCAAACGTCATTCCTACCTCCTCTTCCCAGACAATAAATCCTTAGCTTAAATTGCCCAAGAGCCAGCATCTCTACTTCACCACACAGATTACGCCTCCCATGGCCATGCCTCTTTCCTGCACGCTCAGTACATCGCCTCCATGAAGGGTTAATTCAACCAGGGCTTTTTACTCCAAGTTGTTTTCCAAGTAGCTGAGAGAATAGGTCTCTTGTTACAAACATGGCTTCTGGGCATTTGGTGATGCTTTCCCTTTTCTTTCTCTCTGTACCACAAAAGAATCTTTTGTTCTCTTGTCCCTCTGTCTCATTTACTCTCCCCCACCCTGCTCTGCCTCTTCCCTCCATTGGCTGCCAAGTGACTAAGGAATGGCAAAAAATGACCATAGCGCAGTCATGGCAAATATTTCTTCAGCTATTATCTGATAGAGACCTTGAGCATCTATGTGAAGGGCCCTCTGCCTTCCCTCGGGCTTCTCCTAGAGATGGGGAAAAATGAGTCAGACACAACAGGGCAGGATATAAGTCAAATCAGCCCAACATTCTAATGGAAATGTCTTGCGAATAGAGTCATGGTGCCTGTTTTGGGAAAATCAAATGATAGGGACCCAGAACTGGCAGGACTCCAGTGGCAGCTTCAATGGCTCTAGATTCTTATAGGAACTCTGCATTTATTAAAAAACACATGGGAGGCACAAAAAAGTTGCTTTCTTGCCTCCACATTTACTGATTCAGCTGTTTGTAGGCTGGAGCAGACACTCTTTGTTGGATGGGTTGTGATGCCTTTACTTTCTCCACACGATTGACGTAAATGTTTTTGTGCATGATCTCCTACCACAAAAAAGCTGTTGCAAATCCCCGTGGGACATCTTGTCTTCTCACACACCATTAAAATTATATATCAGGCATTCCCACAGGCATCCTTCTAGCTATAGTCTTCTCCTTGAACATACTGCTTCACCGAGTTAGTTTACACGTACGTACATAGATATGTAAAAGTTCACATGACACTAAAGTCACTGCAACTTCCACAATGACCTTTCTGAAACAGAAACAATTCCCCAGCCAAATTCCCACCTCCCTACCTTTTACAGCATTCGGATATATTCTTCACTGATACTGCCTTCTGAAAGAAAACAAAATTCTTTGGTCTCACCTGAAGCAAATCTTGCCCTTCTGCTCATCTTCTTCTCTAGTGACCCTTTTTACTCTTCTGACTACCCTTTGTCCCAAGTCCATCTCAGTCTGTGTTGTGCCTCAGGTGAACACGGCGTAAGGTTCCTGCCTCCATCTGCCAAGCTTTCTGCACTCTTCTCCCATCCAGTGCCTCAACTGTTTTGAAAGGCCCTTAAAACAATCTTCAGATTGCAGCCTTAGTGACTTCCCGCACACATGCACACAAAGCTGTGGATGTAAGGCGTTATCTGCAGAAATTTTATTCCTGTAGAGAAGGGGAATGGACTATACAGATAAAAGGGCCATTATATTCCCACATTAGAAGGCTTTCTTGTCTAGTGGATTTTAACCAAGCTGGTTAAACCGTCATGAAAACGGTGCACTGGCCAACTCCTTATATGACTGCACCCACAATGAAGATTTGTGCTAAGTCAACCGTATCTGTTTTGAAACTGCATGCAGAGCAGCTTTCATTGTAAAGCATCAAAAACCATCTAATATGTAACAATTAACGAATACACAATAATCCTTTTCCTGCATCCTGGTTTGATAGCATCTAAATGAATCCCAGCACAGACACAGAGATCCTCAGTGCAATCCCAGCTGGGCCTCACTGCTTCCACAGTAGCTCTGTCATACCAGGTGATCATCAGAAGTGTACAGTCAGCCTTAAATCAGTATCTACTGATCACTTAAAGGTGATCAGTAGGTAAACACGGATCACCTCCATCACAAAGGACAACCGAAGCAGCCTGAGATGAAGAATGTTACCCCAGAAACTCAACAGTTCTAATGTTCATCTAATGCTACATAAACCTCCCCACCAAGCAGTGCCCCTGATGAAGCAATGCACTGCTGCATCCTTAGAAACCCCCATTTAGAAATGGTGAAAAAAGGAAAAGGATTTGCTTCTCCCTGGTTCCAATTCTTCTTCATAGGGTGGGATCCCATAGTCCTGCAGTGGAGACTAATCTAGTCAAAGGCATTACACTGCCTACAGAGCCCCATCAGGGTCGTCTTTGCACGCTGTGGAGACCAAGAGGTCAGCTGTTGAAGTCCCTTTGGAAAAAAGCATCTACCACCATCTCTTTCACAGATGAGAAGCCCAAGGATGGATTATGGATTCTTGGATAATTCTGGATGAATCAAGTAAAGAGAGGAGGGATAGCTGGATGGCTAAATAAAGCCAATGAGATCACATGTTCCGCCTTTTTATCTGCTTTTCTTTTTCTGCTTTTGGACAATAAAGCTTCCTTTGATACAGAAGAAGAGGGATGTAGGGAGTGCAGGGAGAGGGGGTGCCAGAGTCACCCCAATGGCCCCTGGTCACTTATCCACGCTCCTTAATGTGATGTTCCCACTGACAGAGACAGAAAAAGACAGTGATCTCATGATTCCACAGACGATTATGCAAACAACCTTGGGAGATGAGGGGTGAAGGGGATAGGAAGAGGGGTAAAGAATGATTGAGGAAAGGAGAGAAAGGGAGAGGAAAGGGTACGAGTAACAGGGAGAGGGGATATGGGAAGCAGGACCTTGGAGGGCAACTGTGGATGGCATTAGAAACTGAAGGTCAGAATCCAAAAGAGGATGTGTACAGGGACTGTAGGGAAAAGGAGAAGAAAAAGAAGTCTTGAGATAAAGGGTAACAGGCCTGGTGGAAGAAGGTTAGGTGTGACATTGTATGGAAGGACTGAGGGCAGGGTAAGGGATAAGAGTTGACTGAGTTATCAAGTATGTAGGAATGGGGGGCTGGACTCAGAAACAGTGTGGTGGGATGAGGAACAAGGACTTAATATGAGTGTGTGAAGGAAAGGAGGGAGAAGCACCTATGGGACTGGGAGCAGAAGGGGTACGACTTACTGAAACTTGTTACTTTGAGGTTCTGCTTACACAAAACCAGGTCACCAAATCTGCCAAGAGAATAATCTTGGTTTCTCAGACCCCCAGAGCAAACAGATGATAGGAATGTGACAGGGAGAAAGATATAATACCTGAGGCATTCAGCCATGTCCAAGGGAGGCAGCAATGAGGCAGTGGGGCTGGAGACAGGCAGCCTGGTTTCAACTTTGCCTGGGCTGATCTCTGTGCAGGAAACCTTCACACCTGCACAGAGGAGCACTTTGTGTGTATTATACCTCACCTCTCAGCAGCCTTTTCCTTAAGCCTTCTTCCTTCCCTTCCCTCCTACCCTTTTGTTCCTCCTTCCCTTCTTCCCTCACTCCCTCCATCCTTCTTTACTGCCTCCCCACAGTAAGACAAGAGCTCAACACAGTCTGCAGATTACCACCTTCTTCTCCATTCCACCCCAACAGCCCTCGTCCCTAACCAGTGAAGCAGCCAGGGCCCAGCAGGAGGTTTTTGGTCCTGTTAGATCAGGAACAAGGAGGGGATGAAGGACTCGGGGAACAACTAGAAGAAAGTGTCTCCCATTACAAGCTGCCATCTCTGTACCTCATGACTCCCTGACACTGGTCTGTCCTGGGGGCTCATCACATTTTCCCCCTCCTCTGTCTGCTCCATGGCAGCTAATCAGTGACCCACTGACAGTCTCTGTCCATCACTCGTCTCTGCACGCAATGGGGTAATTAAACCCTGACCCTCCACTCCTTTTATCCATTTCCTCTGCGCAGTCACTTCCCAAAACAGGAGAGGTGAGGGCGTGCTGTGGAGGCTCCTGCCCCAGCCTCCAGCTGTAATGAAGATGTAAAGCACATGAAAGACCCACTGAGAGAAGAAAGATGCTGAGGGGGCAGCCAAAGAGGTATTGAGTAGTACAAATCTTCCCACATGCTTACATTGAGCTCTGCTGACCTACCTCCATCAGGGACCTTTGTAAACCTTCAGCTCTTTATCACCACACCCACAGGTTGTCTAGCATCTTTTCCCTGCCCTCTTATATCGACAGTAAACCCACTCCTCCTCTATGTGTCCTCAGGGCATTTCTAGATGGGGGTGCCTAGCTCAGGTGAAAACAAAGCCTTCCAGAAGCCTCAATACATCCATCTCTGGGCTTGCTTCCCTACACTACAGCCCAGCTTGGTTGATATGCCCCAACCAAAGCTTCTGGTGTGAACCCATCGCCTCCAATGGAGCTAAGCACACTGCCTCAGCCCTGGCACATGAAGGTTTCTTCATTAAACACCTGCAAAAGGGCAGAGGGAGCTCTTGGTAGCAGAGTGCACCCCAGGGAGCACAGCGGATGGATGCAGGAGCTGGCTGAGACCTGCTGATACTGCTTTTGCCTGCATGGTGGGACAATGAAGGATGCATCAAGTGACAGACCAGAGTCACAAATTGTAAGGAAGTTATTTTTATATTTTTTCCTTTTTTTTTTTTTTTTTGGCTTTGTGGCACTCCACAAAATTTATTACACGGATTGATAAAGATCCAGAAAGGATGCCGAGCAACTCAGACTCTGCTTCCTGCTCCCTACCCCAAGTGGGGAAGCTGCCTCCCTCCCACTCATGAGCAAGAAGGGCTGGGGCCACCCGGGGAAGGGCATGACGGGTAAAGCAATGCCCCCTGAACAATTAAGCACTGTCCCAGGCACTGCACACCCTTGTCCTGGGAACAAAAGAGTCACACACAAGAGACCTGACTGTGAAGCCTCCATCCGCTTTCATCACTGACCCCCGGGGCAGTCAGGGCACAAGGTCAGCCCACTTAAACTCCAAACTCAGCCAGAAATAGAGCTGGGAAGTGGGCAAGGGTGGCCAAGTGCAGGGGTCCCCAACCATTTGAGGGGTTCTTTGACTGAGCCATTTCATTTCATCAAAGACACGTTTTTTTCTGGAAGGAAAATGGAGAGCAGTGGGTGTGAAGGGAGTAAGGGGGAAGCAGAGTGTTCACCGTGAATTATGACCACTCTCAACAAGAGTCTTTTACATTATGGAGGTGAGGAGAGGATGGGGTAATTGGGCATGTTAGACCCATGCATAATGAGGGCAAATCTCTGCCTCTTTCCCACCCTCCACTTTGCCACTGCTCAGGAGATGTGGTCCCTCTCAATATTCCACTGTGGGGCTCAACACCCTGAGGGCTAAACTCAAGGACTACGAGATTTGATACTGCCTCTCCAGACTGGTAGTCCTCATGGGATGGGCCATAGCCTGTGGACATGTCCCTCATGTGAAAAAGTTGAAAGTTGCCTTAAAAATTAAATCCAAGCCAGGGCTCGTGCTTTCCACCTGCAGCGGCTCAGAAAACCCGCCAGGCTTTAAGCTGCTGTTTTTTCAGGCTGTAAATGCTGCCTTTGCATGTATTACTTTCATATAGGTGCAAGCTGGACCTTCTGGGGGACAGCACTAAGCAGTATATTAGTGGTAGGTAAGAAAAGATGCTCCTGAGACCTATCTCCTCAACTAGGAGAAATCTGTGGGGACAAAGTCAAGGGGGAATCAAATGTGTTTGGTGCATATAATCAGTTTAAACTTAAACAGGGTAGATTTAAGTTAAATATAATGAAGAAGTTCTTTACTGTGAGGGTGGTGAAGCACTGGAACAGGTTGCCCAAGGAAGCTGCGGCTGCTCCATCCCTTGGCAGTGTTCAAGGCCAGGTTGGACATGGACTTGATCAATCTGGTCTAGTGGAAGGTATCCCTTCCCATGGCAGGGGGTTGGAAGTAGATGATCTTGAGGTCCTTTCCAACCAAAACCATTCTATGATTCTTTGTGGGATACAGTGCATTGACCATGGAATATTGTCCATTTCACTAGGCTTCTTCCCTCTAGATAAGCTTCTTATAATCCTAAATGGGGGAAATTTCAGAGGAAGGACAATAAAAACACACATTGGGGGGGGGGGGGGGGGGGGGGGTGTTGAAGGATGGGAAAGGGAAGTGCAAAAGAAAAAAAAATAATGCAAAAAAAAACCCTGCTTTTCACATGGAAAGATGTGAAATTTCACTAAGTCAGCCTGAATTCCAAAAGACAGTAATACTGTGTTCTCTGAAACTCTATAGGGCAAATGTTCAGCGCTTGGTGCCCCCATGGGGAAGGATATCTCCACAGTGTCCAAATGCATTGAAGGTTCATCTCATTCTGGGAAGAGTTTGAATACAGCAGTGATATGATGTACAGGTTGGGAAACAAGCAGTCAGGTCATTTGTAGCCATGTTTTCAATATTTCTTACCCCTTCCTCTGTGAGTTGGTAGCCCCAGGATACAAGTGTTAACAGCCAACACCCACCCTGGTGTATGATAAACCACCCCTGTGTACCCCTGTGTGACTGTCCCCTACTCCACCTCAGTGAGGCTGCCACCACCTCCATCTTCCACTTACACCATATAAAGGTCCCTGCAGCAGTTTGGAGCACCCAGCAGAAGTGGAGCAGCAACACGGAAGGCAGGCTGTGGAGTGGTGGGCAGGGAATACAGTCCCATACTTAGCCACTGAAAGCTCTCCCAAATCCAGACAACATGGCTGGAGGGACAGGAGTCAAGGAGAATGTTGTCAGCTCAGCGTTAGTTCCGTTGACAACAGCAGCAGAAAAGCAGCCAGAAACACAAGATTCAGCAGAGAGCCAGTACAGAGAGATGCACCTGAGTGCCAAGAAGCTAACCAGTCATGCTATGTGTGATCTGCTCACAGATTCCTTATTACATGTGATGAAAGACAAGCAGAAGGCAGTTAAAGTAGCAGGGCCTCGGCTGCCTTTGCAGGGGTTGTCTATTTGGGGGGTGGAAAAGTGTCTGCACTTGCAGACTGAGCCCTCTTTATCCAAGCTGTGTTGGTAGACTGAAAGCAGTGAGCCCAGGATAAAGCTGTGTTTCAAATTATTGATGCAATGATTAATCAGACCTATTCTTGAAAATTAACAGCTTCCTGGGATTATTTTTCTTTTTTACAGGTTAGCTAGCCTTAGTTTTTTGAATTTTAGATAACCATTTTCATCAGTAATTCATGATTTCTTCCTTTGGGAGGAGGTGATTGGCTGGATTTCCAATGTTGAGACAGACATGGCTTTAGGGCACACGCAGATTCATTCTCTATCTCACACAAAGAGAATCCAATCAATCTGGGACATGTTAGTGCAACTGTACACAAAAGGCAGGGTCAGCACATGCATACAAAGGCCGATGCTTCAGGGAAGATACTGAAGGACACACACATGGAGCAGCACAAATGCAAGGCACATCACACCTATAGGTTTGGGCCTTGTGTCAGCAGGCCTGGGCTTTTTTTATCATCTCAGGCCAATTCTGCCTGTTGTATTTCTCTCTAATGGCAGGAGCTGCCAGGAAAGGAGTCATTCACTGCCTGTTCTTCTCCCCCCCAGCTCTAGTAGCAGAAGAGGACACAGGAGCGAGGTCCCAGGGCTTGTTTTAATGTTGCCCAGTCATCCACAAGGCTCTGAGCAATCCCCTTGGGCACAACCAGCTGATTTATGTTACGCAGGTGTTCTCCTAGACGTGGGGTAAACTTCCCGCCTCGTCTTGCAGTAAAATAGGAGAAATATCCCACCGTTGCAAACCCAGGCCACCTGAATCCAGGCTCCCTTCCTGCAGCAGAAGTTCTCAGCAGCGCCCACACGGTGGAGCTCCGTCTCAGAAATGAAGCCCAGCTCACTACTGGCCTGGTGGTCATCTCCTCGGGGTGATCCTGCAAAGCTCATGGGCACGAAGCAGGAGACAGCACAGGGACTGTGTGTGGGACTCCCAGGCCCTCTAACTCAGTGCATGGAGCATTCTGCCCTGGCACGGGACAGACGGCAGTCTCGATTTCTGCCTCTGCTGAAGATCTGCTGTTTGACATTGGCTTTATCAGCTCTTGTCTGTAACAGCTGTCAGCTTTGGGGAGGGTTCTGTAGGGTTTCCTCAGTGTTTGGAAGTGTCCAGCTAGCCAGGGGCTGGACTTCAGAGGGGGCTGCACTGTAACTGTATCACAAATATCTTAACTCCTAGCTGTCAATGGCAAACTTATACGCTCTGAGGAGGACCAGGGGAGAGATTTTTTAAAATGCATTCCAAAGTAAGTATTCTAAGAGGAAGAAAGTTATGGACAGTTGTTTTGATCCAATAATTTGAAAGAGATCCAGGAATTACACAGGAAAATGTTTCCAGGTGTTGCGAGACCACAGCATTGTAGAATCTGTCCAGTTAAATTTTCACTGTCTCTAGGAATGGATATTCCCCCATTGCTCTGGGCTGTTGTAACAGTGCTTTCCCACCCTCAGAGTGATGGGTTTATTCCTTTTATTGCACCAGAATTTCATGCTGCAACATGCAACTCTTGCCTCTTGCCTTTTGCTGTGTGAAAGTCCCAGGAAGAGCCTGGCGCTGTCCTCTCTGCATCAT